TGATCCACCGCCACCCGCTCATTCCCGAGATCCCATCCATCTGGCCGATGCCGTACGCCAGAAGACCACCCAGTGCGCCAGCAACCGCAGCGCTGACGAAGAGGTAGCCGACACGGAGAGCCAGCTCACGTTTGGTGTAGAAGAAGGTGAGGTAGACATTCAGCCCCGGGAATAATCCAGCCTCTACCACTCCCAGGATAAGACGGACGGCGATGAGGCCGCCGTAGTTCTGGACGAAGCCGGTGCAGAGCGCTATGATACCCCACGCGAAACTGATAAACGCAATGTAGCGCGACGGCGTCAAAGGCTTGAGCACCAGGTTGGAAGGTACTTCAAATAGGAGGTCTAAGGGCAGGCTTTAGTCACAGTAGTCCGCAGTTTGGGTGCACATATACGACAAGAGCCGTCGCACCAAAAGAAACAGCTGCTCAAACGGTTTTAGGGGGGCCGAGAAGTGTTGACTAACAGGTAACAAATAAGATGGAGACGGCAATCTGGAACTGGTTGCCTACTAGCCCCAAATCCTCCTCCATTCGATAGAGGCGTGCATTGCCGATATTTACTCTAATAGAACGGGCTTCGTTAGCAGCCGTAGCATCACAGGGGTACACTACATGGGAAGTAGATAGGAACACCTACCTGTCTAAAAAGCTAAAAGTATCTATAAAGAACCAGAAGTAAGTACATGCATGCAGTTTTGGAGCAACAGCGGCAATCTGATAGATAGGTGGATGGTGATCACGTCTACCAAGACGTATCGAGACAGGCCAGCGGGTGAGAAGAGAGACGACTTGAGGGAGAGCAGACTAACAGAGGAGCATAATCAGGGGCACGAGATGCCAGTCGAGCTTGCGCAGGAGCTTCTTCTCGTCGATGCCGAAATCCGTGCACGCCTCGGCCCCGGCGACGTCGACATCGGGCTGCACCGCGGACTTGGAATCCGGACTCTCCGGCATCTCGTTTATCATGGCGCCGGTAGTAAGAGACAGAAGCCGGAGCAGCGCGCGCCTTGGATCCCACGAGGGTGGGGTGTAGTATGTAACAGGGATGCGAATGAATTTTTGGGGGTTTTTTTTATTCAGGCGCAATCAGTTGAAGTCGTACGTCTAGGGAACCTGACAATTTTGCTGAGGTTCCTAACAATCGGTACCCCTTCCTGTGATGATGATCTTGCGATGAAGCCGTACCCAAACATTCGAAAATATAAAAAGAAAAAGATAGAAAGAAAAAACAAGAAAATATATCAAGGGCTTGTTCTGTTCAAGACTATCGAGCTTTTCAAAATTCTCGGCAGGTGACTAAGAAGGAGGGTTCTAGATCCAGGATTGGATTGGATACCACCTAACCTAGTAACGACTTTGTTCTCTCGAGAGTCAGTGTAGGGCAGGGGAGAAAGACGACAGAACAGCCGATTGCGGCATTATTAGCTTGAGAACGAGAGTCTGGAGACCCGTAGTTGTGGGACGTTTTTTTTCTTTTCTTCTCTCTTAAAAAAACTGACTAGGTTAGTGACCTTTTAAGTTGCAACCGATCTCTCCGTTCCAGGGTTCTAGACTAAACTGACGGATGTTGACAATAGTGATTGATGTTCTCATTAGTGCTTATAATAGAACCACACTAGAGTAACTACATACTTGAGGTAAGTAGGTAAGTACCTATTTGAAGACAGGGGGAGGGCGGGGGTTAGTTATTGATAAATCTTCATTTTGGGATTATAGCGAATTATGAGGCTAACAACTTGTAAAATACTACAATACTTATCTACTAAGATATTGATATACCTAGTAAGGAGACGTCATCAGTATGCACTGGATATCTAGACAAGACTGATAAGACAGCCAAGAATTAAACCCGCGTTTGTGCCAATACTCCCCGGGTAGCATCACGAACCAGGTGTATAAGCCATGTAAACTCGTGAAGGTTAGTAGACAAGGGAGCACTAATGTCTTATGCGACCTGTGCACACATATAAAGCCACATCACATCACATCATATCATCGTAACTAAGGTAGAGATAAACAAAACACACTATAATATATGTGGTATACAGGACACTGTTGGGGGTTTTTGTCTCTATCCTATAATGCTTGTCTGGCTGTTATCTTCGCCAAGGGGATCAGAACGGTAAAATACAGGTGTGGGGGTTGGTTGGCTTTGGTGGAAGAAGTGGGGGGGGAGACTATTAGGAACTATAGAAATATCGAATTACATTTACTACGCGATCGACCTATATACCATCGTGTCTAAGACTGACATTTCATTTATTTGCTTAGGTTAGGTACTTACCCCCTTGGATCGTGTAACTTAAGTTTTGCTTATTCCCCTTTCCCCCTCTTTTTTGTCTCTATAGCCTCTCCCCCCTCCCACCCCCTTCCTCTTTCTTTTCTATCTCTCAATGCCAGTCAAGCTTTAGTTTCCGTGGAGGATCTCACCGGTTCAGCATCCGGAGAGTATCAAATAACAACATGCATTGTTTATAAGGACGTGCTACCGTACCTCCTATTGGCTTTTCTAGTTTTCTTATCAGCAGGCTAGAACGAGGTGCTACCAATAAGAAAAAATACCAAGAAATAGGTAAGCACATTGTCTCTGACGCCAAGTTACTGGTGGTAGGCCGTGGCATTCTTTACCGGTACGGCCTTTCAACTGGAAAGAAATAGGGGAGCATGGTTTCTCAGTATTAATATCTTCTTAGATATCTATCTAGCAATATCCAGAATGTATCTGTAGTCAATGATTGAATAGTTGTCCCACCAGCATAGTGCAACGAGTAAGTCTCTTTCGGCCCGGAAAAAAGCAACGCGATCTATTCTCCCAATTTCCTTTTTAAATTCATTTCTTTTTCATGTCTGTGTCTGCCAAGTCAGAATCTCCCATTAAGCAAAATACGCGATCCCATGTTAAAAGTCATTCGAGTCTCCGTGTTATCATCACCCATGAAGGGGAGGGGGGAACAGGTGGTCTGTTCGCCGGTGATATGCATGTGAGAACACCCCCCGTATGAAACCTTCTCCCCCCCCCCCCCTTTTCGATAAATGCCTAACCTAGGTTAGATAGCTAGGCGCTGTGCGCCGTCTCACTTCGCAGCAGGCGAGCAGCCCCAACCCGTCAAGTTCAACCAAGCGTGTGTGTGCGTGTGGGTGTGCAGCTTAGACCGTGACCGCAGGCGCAGCAGACCCGGCACTCTTCCTATCCTCCTCGACCTCCTTCCGCAGGTCTTCGACGGCGCGGAACTCGCGGTGCGGGCCCGCGGGGCTCACCAGACCCTGCGGGTCGCGGACCCTGGCAAGGTCGACGTGGACCCGGCGCGGGCGCCGGACGAGCTGCACCAGGCGCGGCGCGACTTTCTCCTCGGGGCCGCCGGCGACCCCGAGCGCCTGCTCGCGCTCGTTCACGCTCTGGAGGCTGGGGAAGTAGCCCGCGATGGCGGAGCCGGCCCAGGCGGACTCGTCGAGCTGGAAGAAGGGCAGGCCGGCGGCGGCGTAGGCGCGCGCGTCGATCGGGCTCGGCGGCGGGTCGCGCCCCGTCACGGCGCGGAACCCCGCGCTGTTGAGGATCTGCACCGGCACCGCGAGCGTCGTGTCGCGGCTCCAGATGGCCGGGTCGTACGGGTCCTTCCGGATGCACTGCACGATCCGGCCCCCCGGCGCGATGCCCATGGGCGCCGCCTGGCTGGAGGAGGACGAGGAGGGCCCGGACTTCCACGGGCCCGTCTCCGGCCGCGCCGGCGTGATCTCCAGCTGCAGGCCGCCGAGCGTCTCGTCCCCGAACTGCGCCTCGAGGCTGTACCCCGAACCCACGGGCATGGCGACGAACTGCCGGACGACCCCGGGCGCCACCGCGAACCCGTCGACCCAGTACTGCAGCGGGGCCACGACGTAGTCCTGTATGTTCTCGCCCCGCGCGTGGCGGTCGGCGCGGCGCTGGCGGGTCTCGGCGCTCTCGGCCTTGTGCTCGCCCGAGATGGCGTTGACGCCGCCGGCGTAGATTTTGACCATGAAGGGGGCGGTGGCGCGCATGCGGATCCACAAGGCCTCCTTCTGGTGCATGGGGAAGAAAACGCCGCCGCGCGCGACCATGTTGGCCGGCATCTTGCTGGCGTATTGCTTCACCTGGAAAAGGGGGAAGTCCCCGAGCCCCGGGGGCAGCTGCGACGTGCCCAGGTTGTCGGGGACCCGGATCGTCCGGTGGAACCAGATCTGTAAGTTCTGTGGGTGGTACGCCTTCCCGTGGGTGGGGATGTGATTGACCGTGATAGCATTCTTCTCCGTGGCCAGGTGGAAGCTGCCGCTGCTGTTCGCCATTTTGTCTGGTAGGTCTAGCAGGTAGAGTAAGGTCAGTTTACGTTGGTACTCAGGGAAGGAGTGTTGAGGCACTCTAGTTACATAAAGACCTACTTAAAAAACTTGATTCAAGTGAAGCTCGTAAGTGTTAAATATTGGATCACTGTGGTTTGTATTTTCTGAAGTCTGAGAAGAAACTGTGTTATTGTGGTAGATATGCTGATTGTGGTAATGGGGTAAGAAGAAATGAGTGAGAGAACAACCTATTTATACTTAGTTGCCTTGCCCATGGGACCAGATTGTTCGATGAAATTCTTGATCTAATCACTATGCATACAGGTCTAGGTCATATATTGATGTTATGTCATATTCTGTAGTCTTCTTTGCCTTCTTTCTCATGTTTCGGGCCCTTACTGACACGGCATGAGATGACTGGACACTTATCTCATCATCGAAATGGTACCTTCGTGTTCCTGATTATCGTATCCCAGCAGATAGTACTGAACTTGTCTCGAGTAATTACCTAGAGGGTTCTGTTTGTAACAGGCCACAGCCATTTCTCCGCTCGCAAGTCCATGAAGTATTGCCCGAGAATTTATTACCGGGTGTTTGTTTTACAGTGTCGCTAAGACCTATTAAAAAGTAAAAGGCAGCCATTCCAGCCCATGGAAAAGAAAAGACAAAAGTGAAAGAAGTATGGAAGAAAAAGAGGAGTGTCTCCGAACTAGAGAATCGAACACCGGGTTTGACGGATTATACAAGATGAGAGCATCAAATTCTAGGCACTACACTAATTCGGAAGTTCATGTCTGAAGTGTATAGGAATAAGTTTGAATAGGGCGGTCTTAGTCATGGTTATATCTCTCATATCCATCTGTACTAGGGGGGTTCTCTAGGGAATACTAAGGAGGCAGTGTAGTATGGCTCTGTTATGGGTCGAAATTAAAGAGCGAGGAGCCTCAACCGCGTATTAAAACCACATAATCATAGTATTGATCTAAGTACCCAAGTTCCATTGGTGCAATACGCTTATTTGAAAACAGTCAGGAGTTTGCTGGAAAGATGTGGTTAGACTGGGGTTGAAAATGGAGATACGAAATGAATATACAGTTTTCTCTTACGATGAAGACCTATGTTCGAAACTCACTTCACATTATTACATGATTCGTCAAACGCCTTCTCCTCTCCTCATCCCGTTCTACCCCTTTCAATATCCGTATAACTACCATGTTCAGGTCTTCTACTTCTGTATATCATGCAAGTATCATTGCCCCCTTTATCACTGGAATTTCTACTACAAACCTTGAAGTGTCTTGGGGTCCATTTATTCCATTAAGATGCCACTCGCGTGGCAACATGCCAGCAGTAGTTCTGCGTTACCCAGACCATATCCTTTATATATCATATATATCATGTACTGGTCCTGAAACTACCTAAATACTTTATCAGACTTGGCTCCATCTATCTTAGTAGATATCAATATTCAGAGAGAAAAGATTCGTATATATCTATACATAGTAATTGCTCTAACCTTAATCATATACACCGTCCGCAACTCAATATCAATGCGTAGAAAAGAGTTATATAAATATGAAAACTATCTCATCGTATATACATTTCGGATACAGGCACCCTGACCTGAGACAAGATGAAGAAATTTTCTGTAGTCTCAGGAACTCAGTCATCCTTCTGTCTGTCCGTACATCTGCCAACAGCACAGTAAGTACCCGAAAGTAAAACGAATTATAACAAGCCCAAGGCAGGGGAATAAATGAGACGCCGGTGCAGCCTTTCCCCCTAAAAACCAGCATCTTTGTAAACGCCGTAAGACCTCTCCCCCAGACACCATACATATCACCAATATTCAGTGTCTACCTAGGTAACTGGCCTTACTCCTCTCTCTTCCACCCTTTGCCTACCTACCTAAAATCTCTATATCCTACTAATACCACGTAAAATCCTCGCCTACCCTCCTGCACGCAAGAGAGCGAAGAAAAAAAAGGTCACATTCAATCAACGACACGTGCTCATTGAATTTGCTTTCCAAAAAATATAATTTCACCCCTACTACACTGTATGTATGTATGTACCTAGTCAAGGTATTATTCATGTATACTAGGTTAACCTACTAGCAGGTTGTCCAGTTCGACGTTTCGGTCCGATATGTATGTACAATACCTCATATATAGATCCAGTAAAGGGGGCTGATTGATTCCACCAGGGAATTATTGTGAGGGGAGGGACCCGCCGCTGCTAAAGGGATGGAAATAAATATGTGTGGAGATGTGCACGTAAAACCGCCGGAAACCATGATTGCGTTTCGGGTGATCTGGAGGTTTAGTTACTTAGTGACTGGGTATGACTAGACTTAGTAAGATGTTGTGACTTGTTCTTCTAGGCTCTCAGCTGTTTTATTACCATGTTAATCGACGATCATGGCTATGTCAATTTGGTTATTATATACCTAAGCAGAATTTTTATTCATTAAAATCCCATCCCTCTAATAGGACTGCCAGAGGTGAAGGAGATGGGATAGAGCGGCAATGTCATACATTAATTACATCATCTAATGTTCGAGGAGCAAAAGACAAAAGATATTTATGACACGCATATAGGCACACGGGCCGAAGTTGGCGGTGGCACGAAACACAGTGCAACATGAAATCGTGAAAGATTAGGAAAAAATGTTTATTTATCTATTCGGTGTCAACATGTGGAAGAGAGTACGTCAAAATCCTTAGTTCCGATTCCCAACCAAAAACTCCATTCAGGATGCTTTGCTGATAAATGTGTCCTTCAACAAGTCAAACAAATAAGGGCTAAACGAGATCTAGATCTATCACCCTCTGTACTGAAGAGTGAGCCTAGCGCTTATCGGCAAGTGTAGCCACCGTCGATGAGCAAGTCCGAACCAGTGGTGTATGTGCTCAGGTCGCTGATAAAGTAAACGTAGGCGCCCTTCAGTTCCTTGGCGTCACCGTTGCGACCCATGGGGATCATGCTGCGCCAGAGCTCCTGAGTTTTGGGGTCAATGAAGTCAGAGAGACCCGTGTCGATGTAACCAGGGGAGATGCTGTTGACGCGGGCAAAATCGCGCCACTCGTTGGCAAGCGACTTGGCCATGTGAATGCAGCCGGCCTTGGCCACGTTGTATGAGGTCTGCTCCTGGGGGAAGTTGGCGATGTGGCCGGACATGGAGGAGGTAATGACAAAGGAGCCGTGGCCCTGCTTCTTGAAGACGGGGCCGACGGCCTTGGCGCAGTAAGCAGTACCGTTCAGGTCAGTCTGAATGACCTTGTCCCAGTCCTCCTTAGGCGCGTCAAGGACTCCACCATCGGCGGTAGCACCGGCGTTGGCAATGAAGCCATCGATCTGGCCAAAGTCCTTAAGGACATCACTGACGAGCTGCTCACATTGAGAAAAGTCTCCAACGTTGCACTTGTAGGCCTTGGCCTTAATACCGTACTCCTTGGTCAGTTCGGCAACGTTCTTCTCAGCCCCCTCCTTTCGAGACGAGTAGGTAATGGCAACATCGGCGCCCACTTCGGCACAACCGCGGGCAGCCTCAATGCCCATTCCACGGGGACCAGAGGCGCCCGTGACGACGACGACCTTGCCCTTGAGGCTCAGCAGGTCAAGGAGCTTGTTGGCGGCAGGGACACCCTGAACCATGATGGTGGTATTGGTATGGTATTAATGGACGGATTTCTTGAATGAGAAGGGTTGTTTGGTTGAGAGTATAGAAGGGAGGAAAAGGAGGAGTAGATAGTCTGGAAGGGAAGGGAGACTTGAGTGGTTTGGAGCAGAAAGAGCAGCGAAGGAGTGAGGGAAAAAAACAAAGGAGAGTACCTGAGTATTTAAGCAAGCGACAAGGAGCAGACAAGATTCACTGAGAGGCAGTTTCCCCCATTTCGGAAGGCTAATTGTGTTTGAGCAGGCGAGATGCTAACCTAGCCATCCAGGTGTGATGTCATACTAGGGATATCCACCGTTCTTGCATATTGCGTACATGACAGCTACCCAGCTGCCGTCCAATAATGACAAGATACCAGCAGTAAGTGGGTCTATTCATTATATAGTAGGTACCTAGTACCTTTATACGGGGAGATTGGAGAACCCTGAAGGCCCATTTACGTACCTAGGTACATACCGGAACCCCTCCATGCCCCCCCCCTCCTTCGGCAAGAGAGACAAGATAAAGGCTAGAAAAAACACGGGAAGGAGGAAACGGTAAAGCCGGATGACCTCATGAAGACTAAGGTGTTTTCTATTTGTTACAATATGTACTTTAGTACGTACTAACTGTCTTAGACAACTTGAGTACCTATGTATGTATGTACTATGAATGCACATACTACATACCTACTAGGGTAAGGTAGAACAAAAAATACATCCAGAACTCGCGACGGGCATTTGCTGCAAGATGAAAGTCTATTACTACATACCTCCCAGCTAGGGAAGTAGGTATATTGCGCGTTGTTATTAAGGTTAAGACACCTACCTATGTAGGGATGGCATTGAGATTCTAGTTCCTGTCACACCGACACAGAGTTTGTTGACCGATGAGGCGTAAGATAGATAGGTAGGTAGGTAGCACTTAACACGGGTAGGTATGGATATAGGGCGATGGCTGATGTCGATCCAGGATCTCGGAATTAAACATTGATCTCTCTCTCAGCCGCTCGACGATCCGAATCCTTTAGGTTAAGTTATAGGTATCTACTTAAGTAACTAGTAGTACCGCTACTATTTCGTTCTTTCAACTTTTAACATGCAAAATTCCTCAAATCAAGTAACTGTCAACTTACTCAATTGCGTAGCTTTCCCGGAGTCATCCGAAGGAGTACAAATGGAAACTGCGGCAAACGGGCTGAGTAGGCCAGGCCCCTCTTCGGCGCAAACCCGGGGAATCTCGCCTAACCTACCTAATAGCAACTAGAATCGAGATCGAGTTTATCTATATATATCGATATGTACTACCTACCTAACCAAATCTACATACCTAGTAGGTATTAATATCAAATAGATTAAGTGCCTAATTATCCCGCACGTGGCTCGTCATCTAAGGTGTGCTGGTACTAAGTATCAAATAGCATTCTTTGCATTCTAATTGAAATGCATTTGACATTGATATCAGATAACCCTCAACTCAACTTAAGCAACAACTAACTCCTCAACAATCTCATCATGTAGGTGAGAAGAACAAAAGCGACCCCGTCTGTCGTCCCCGAGATTATTTGGTTTCTTCTCCAATGGCCTACTACTTACCCCATGGCTTATTCCTTGATCCAAGTGCCAAGTACAGGCTCTGCCTAGACACTACCCTAAGGTGATTGGTGCGAATTCCCCGGCGTAGGGACTACTAGCACTCGTGTCCGTTTTACCTAGGTAAGTAGTAAATATGGCATTCCGGGCTCAACACAGCTGTCCTGTATACCACCCACCTACATACATACCAGCATACATTGACACATGCACTGCGGAGCTCGGAGGGCAAGGGGGAGGGATCTAACTAATTCAAATTGATGATTCCGGAATCCATTGATATTAATATATCCCATGTTAGTACTTAACCTACAGGCTACTCGCAGTCCGCTCCACAACCCCACATTGTCTTTTAGCACAGTATCTGCAGTATCTACTGTGGACGAGTTCTGTCGATGTGTAGGAGGGGGGATTTACTATTGCAGCTAGATGATAATTTCTATTTCCCACCGGTTCCGAAGGTTAAGGCTAGGAATTAGGTGGTAAGTAGTCCGACTTGTAGGTATTCTCCGGTTTCGGTTCCGACGGAACGCAT